GGGTATAGATAGCATCTCCTCATGGTTCAGAGATCTACCATCCGGACACAAGGGCCCCATACAGTGAGATTGCCAGTAATAACCATCTGCTGTCAGACTCCAGGATCTGAAATTACCCGTTAAGTCTTGGCAGATTAATCTATCATCTCTTGCTACAACACATTTCTTTTCTGAAGACTGTGCCCATCCACACACTCTCTGACCCTATCCTACAACTACAGGAAACAGACAGGAACTTACACATTCATTTGAGGTAAGTAATGTGTGCCCACAGTGATGAACAAGTTATAGTTCCTGTTCTAAAGTTTATACTCTACTGGGGAAACAGGTAGCCATTAGCCTATAAAACTTTGAATTACAATAATCAATTACAATAATTGTAATTTTCAATTACAATAATTAAATAATAACTACAACAATGAGGATCTAAAAGTCTGTGTAAGAGAGACTAGACAAGATTAGATTTGGAGGCTAGAAAAGTTTTCCCTGATGCTAAAGAAGATATGTTATTCCAAAAATGGAGACGAGACTGGTTGAGAAGGATGAGGGAGTTTTGGGGCAACCTGAACTGCACTTCTTCTGGGGTTAAAGGTGACTGACTGATCAGTGTGAGGTTAACTAGTAGGAATAGATGCTGGGTAATCCCATGGATGGTAAGCTATTAAGAGAGAATGTCATTAATTTAACTATTGAGAATAAGCTGATGTTAAAGGAGTATAATCTAACACCTGGATACTTATCTGGGGAGCTAATTTAAACTCTTCAGGCCAGGGATTTAGCTCAGTGGTTCTGCAGCCTGCCTCGCAAGCACAAGGTCCTGAGTTTGATCCCCAGTACAAAAAATAAATAAATAGACCACCCCCAGCACAGAGGAGGTCACCTGCAAAGGTGCCAACAGCACCCCCGCCCCCTGTCGAAATGAGAAGATACATAAACAAGTCTCAAAACCAGACTTTCAGATCACCTACAGCAAACCCAAACGGAAACGAGATGGAACACTCTGATACTCAACCACCTGGCCTCCCTGAACTAGCAACAGAAGAGGATCGGGAAAAAAGAAATCAGAAAAATTTCTCACATAACAGCAGAGATTGTGCCCATAGTGCAAGACATGGTTAATAAACCTAGAGAGGACACAGATTTAAAAAACAGAGGAGCTGAGGAACATGATGGAATCCCAACACAGGAAACAAATGGAATCCATAAAACAGATGCAAACAGATTTCCAGGAGATTAAAAACTCCACTGAAAGTTCACATGGCAGAATGAGCCAGTGTGAGGACAGAACTTCAGATATAGAAGATAAGATTGCAATTAGTGACCAAGAAAAGAAAAATTTCTTTAAAATAGTAAGGGATCATGCGAAATCAGTCCAGCAGCAGCTAGATGATGCAAAGAAGAATAACATAAGACTGATTGGAGTCAATGAAGAAACAGGAGAGAGTGCACATGACATAAAAAACTGTTCACAGAAGTGATGGCAGAAAACTTCCCAAGCAAGGGAAAAGAACTTGACATACAGATAAGGGAGGCATATAGGACTCGAACTAGCCATGACCAAAAAACATCTACACATAGGCATATAATTGTTAAGATTCCAGAAACCCAACAGAAGAACAAAGTTCTACAAGCAGTTAGAGAAAAGAAACAAATCACATACAAAGGAAAGCCCATCAGAATCACAATAGACTTCTCAATGCAAACCCTCAAGGCAAGAAGAGCTTAGAGTGATGTATTTCAAGCCCTAAAAGAAAACAGCCTCCAACCCAGATTGATGTACCCTGAAAAATTATCTTTCAAAATTGATGGAGAAATAAAATACTTTCATGACAAAGAGCACCTTAGGAAGTTCATGAATATGAAATCAGCATTCCAAAAAATTTTAGACAATATCCTAGGAAAAGACAACAAGGATCACAACCTCAGGAAGCCCAGCAGAATGAATCCATCAGGCACGACAAGAAATTAAACACAAAGGGGGAGGGTCCAACAAACAGAAAAAGTCATGACAATGATAAGTCAATATGTATGAGTTATTACCATCAATGTTAACAGTCTCAATTCACCAATCAAAAGAAATAGACTGTCAGAATGGGTCAAGAAGCAAGATCCAACAATATGCTGCATTCAAGAAACACATTTAATTCAAAAAGAAACTCATAATCTGAAAATTAAAGTTTGGAAAACAATACTCCATGTGACAGGAAACCCCCCCCCAAAAAAAAAGCAGGAGTAGCTATCCTCTTTGCAGTTCAAGTGGATTTCAAATCAAAATCTGAAATACTCTGGTCCCAAGAATTTCAGGTAAGGGATACTCAACTTGTATGTACAAATCTATTGTGAACATGTGTTTTCATTCCTCTCAAGTAAAAACTTAGGAACAGAACTATTGATTCTTAACAGTAATACAAGAAATTTCTATATTGTTTTCCAAAATGGTTTTATAATTTTACATTCACATTAGCAGTATTAGAAAGTTCTAACTGGTTCACACCTAAGCTGTCATTTGTTCTTCTAAAACTTTAAACTTCATCTCCCTAACAAGTGTATAATTCAATCTTGTTATTGTACTGATTAGTATTTTTCTAATTCTAGTGTTGCACACTTTTCCTGGTGCTGTACTGGCTATTTATCATCTTCTCATGTCTACTTTTTAATTGGGTTGT